GTAACACACCATTTGCCAGTACAACTTGATGCTATGTCGACGCAATCCGCTGGCACAAGTAGCTGAGTGTGAACACCCTATGCCAAAATAGTTTTGTCAATGGCATTATGCTAGCAGAACTTTACAGATTTTGCTACAACTAGTACAATTTCTAGTGTAGGCACAACTTTATTAACTGGTTTGTAAATGAAAGTTTGAAAAGAGCACAAGTTTGCATCTGAAAAACAGTTTGTAATAACTCTTTCAGGGTGTCTTACACCACAACCATTTGTTAACAGTCTCCATTTAGGCTTTCAGTTTGATCTTGGACAAAAACGAGGGTTGGGCTTTGTACTAATAACGAGAATACTTAAACTTGCAATAATTTAATTTCAAAATGAAACATCATAATCTGCTGACTAGTCACAATATATACATTGCTAAGTATGATTTGAATGTAGAAAATGGTAATGAGGGTCACCTGAGTATTTTCTGGGGCCAGATTCTTGGTCAGGAACTAGGCCTGCATTGTACTTAACACAAATGAGCTTTGATCCTGACTAGAAACACTAGGTGCTATCAGAATGTTAATTAAAAATAATAATAGTAGCAACCCCGTTCACTGACTCACTGACTTCTCACCTAAATACTCAACTTTGAACCTGCAATTCAGCATAGGGAAGTAGGTCAGGCCACATAAATGTATTCAGTTACGTCATCTCAACCACAGACAAAGCTTTTTGAATGCAGTGAAATTAAATAAAATCGTCTGTAATAGTCATGCAATTTCGCCTCTTCTATGGCCACTTTTACATACTGTACTGAACTGGGATCGTGTCAATCAACATGACATTATGGGGATGTCCTAATGGCTCTCATGTACAATTGTGCAGGTGTCCCAAACTATGCAATTCCCTGCACTCTTACTGGATGGACATGAACTGTAATTTGTTTGTTTATACTCAAAGAATTCCTTTCAATTTAGTTGTTCAACATGAGATAAAACTAAACTACAGCACAGTTACTTTGGGGAGAAAAGCTGCCTCAGAGGTCACACAGAGGGAGGGAATGGAAGGGGAGTGGGCTTATCATTCAAGGGAAAAGCAAAATAGTCTGTACCTTTAAAAAAAGATTCTCATCTAGTAATTTGGAGCCATTCCAATTGCTGGGTTTTTGTTTCATCATAATTGTCTTATTTTTGTTTTTATAGTTTTCCTTCATTTACAAGTTCAATACTTAAGTAAAGCTACTTTCAGTGCAATAATCACCTGATGGTGCTTCTTACTACCTCAGTAAGAGTAATCTGTGCTGCTGTTAAAAACCTGGATCTCAGAATTTATTCAGCCTAAATCTCAGTGTTGTGTGGTTCGGTTTTTAGATATGAGAGGAGCCAGTAAAAATACCTCAGATAAACTCTTATTAATTTTATCATGCACAGAATAGTAAAGGAAAGCAGTGCAAAGTTACACAGATCTATTTCAATACATGGGATAGTTAGCATAGACAATATAATAACATCTTTACCCAAGGCCGGCCCACAACATTTTGGCACCTGAGGTGGGGAGCTCAAATGATGCCCCCATTCTTTCCCCCGCTTGGGCCAAAACTTTGAAAGATCTCAATTCTGCCTTCTTCCTATTCTACTCCTCTCATGGCACTCCACCATCTTTCTGCATCTAGAGCAGAGAGAATACACATGCACCAGCAGCAGACACCATTTTCTACACTCTGGGTCCTAGTGGCCCCACAGTCTGGCCCCTGAGGCAGCTGCCTCATGGTGAGGCCAGCCATGCCTTTACCTAGGACAATACACAAACTACTCAATTATAAGAATATGAATATACATATACTTATTCCTATGAATCACACACACAGTTCCAATGCTGTTACCCTTATGATTATCAGACGGGAGGTCATGGCGTCTTTCATTCCCCATGCGCAGAGGCATCCACAATGCATTGGGCAGTAGGAACTGGTTCACCTTCTTGTTGCAGTGAGTAAGGTAGAGGGGACATCTTACTCAATCCCTCCCACTGATTAGATCTTCTATCCCTATATTTATATGAGACTGGGTTGGTCTAGTAATATCTACCAATTAATTACATTTTGTGTAAGATATCTATTATGCCAATATCTAGAATACATTTTGCTTGCCAAAATTTTGCAAAAGCACTTAATTCATAGCTCTTCGTCTGTCTCTGGAATTTCTCTCATCAAAAGAATGGGATGTACTAGTACCAGGTTGTTTCTTGTCTTTTTGGCCTGGTCTTGCCGTCCTGTACAAGTTATGCATAATTGGGCAAGCACTTCAGACTTTCCCCCACCATTTTTAGCCTGGTCTGTGTGCATGCATACGTGCTGCCCAGATTTGAATCAGGCCTCGGGTGGCTTGTTAGAGATCCATACTTTGGACAAGGCCGGGACGAGGCTGAGCACTGCAGACAAAATATTTTTAGACAAGGGAGGTCCATCCAGGTTCCCCTACAATCAGTTATCACAGAAATACATGTTTACATGGTATCCTTTTTACAGAGTACAACCACTGGTCCAAACCTGCAGCTCAGAGACAAAATTCAGTGGGGCTACGGCTACACTACGTGTTTTGCCGGAAGAGGCAATGCAAATGAAGCACAGGTTAGTATTTTCTCATGCTTAATATGCATAATTTCTTCCAGTCCATTTTTGCACAAGGGGTTTTTGTGCAAAAACAAGCAGTGTGGACATTTCCTTTTTGTGCAAAAACCTCTTTTTGCACAAGATCCTTGTGCCTCTCCCCGAGAGTCCAGAAAAAGAGACAGATAAAATACACAGCTGTGCAATTAAACTCAGCTCACAGCTTGCCTGCATTCTTCAGCCTTTTGCAATGAGACCAAAAAACAATAGACACTCTTGTATTCTGACTGAAGTGGAACAACAGTTAAGGGACAAACGGAGAGATTCTGCAGATGTGCTATCAATGGCCCAGTGATGTAGACACTGGTACCAAGTGTAGTGCTTACTATCATGAGCAGTCCCACTGAAATACCTCTCCTCCCCTCCTCAATGAAGGTTTATTCCGTTATGTGGCAATCACTGTCTGCTCTCCTCAGACCAATGCATCATATCAGTGAGGATTTGTTAGCAGGTCACATACAATGCCAGTGTTAAATACTCACATTAGTAACAGACCAGAAATTAATTTAGGAGAGGTATGCATAAAAAAGCAACACAATGCCTTTGATAAAAGCTTACCACACAAAGGTTAATTTTTACAGTAATTTGATATTAGTCCCCATCAGCTACAGCAAGTTATTTTACTAAAAAAAAAAAATCAAATAACTTTGTTAATATTCCACTTTGTTCTCTGCTGAGGATAAATACATTTCTGCCATAATGGGGAGCTTAAGTTCACATCATTCCATGCTTTATAATGCTGTGCCAAGATATAGTGACATGGCCAACAGCTGTGCAACTGAGGCAGATGATTTGTTTTCATTCAGCTAAAAGGTATGTATGGGGGTGCGGGTGGAGGAAGATTTCTGAAATAAAGTACCTTCTGTAGTCTACTTTTTCTTCACCTGTTACTTTCAGGGGTTGTAAATTTCTATGCTTTCCAGAATCTTCTGAAATAAGGTTTCAAGTCTCAAACATTTCTCTTACTCAGGGAAATATCCCCTTTCTCTAAATATATTCCAGATCCACCAGGTGCATTGCCAGCAGAATGATGGGCTTTATGGACGATAAAGATCCAGTATCTGGCCATATATTTGTGTGTGTCTTGTGGGGGAAGAGGGTGCTCGTAACACAAGAAGGTCTAAATATGTCTCTCAGGAAGGAAGAATTGTCTTAGACAGAGTTAAGGATAAGTTCTGTTCTGAAAGCCAGTTATGGATAAGCAGCATTGGCTTACACAAAGGATCCACTCCTGGGTACAGATTCTGTGCTGTGCTTTCAAAAGAAGCAACATGAAGGACGCAAGCCAGGAGAGTGGGGGGAGGGGAGGTGTTCTTTGTCACTTCTGTATCTCATGGAGTCTGTGCTGCTATCTGTGTAAGGTATTTGTATGGCCCTTCCACTGTAGTATCTGAGCACTACACTCAAAACAGCCCCATAAGATAGCAGTACTCTAATCCTCATTTTAGAGATGTGTATCTCAGATTTAGGGAGGTGCATGTGGCACACAACCTTTTGGTTGATTATAGATTAAAATACATTGGATTAATTTTAGTCATTGGATTTAGTGTGCAGGTGTTGGATGGTGTCGTGACCTGTGATATACAAGAGATCAGACTAGCCTTAAACTCTGACTTGCCCAAATTCACACAGGAGGTCTATGATAGAACAAGGACATGTCCTGAAGTCTCCCAAGTCTTAAGCTATGGCTTAAACACGGGATCATTCACCCTCCTTAGTGAAGGGTTGTTTTCCTGAACCTGGTATAGCCCCCACTACTAGTAAGAATAGGCCTGGGGGGGAAACCACTTCAGACCATAGTGTGAGGAGTTGGATCACAGAAATCCCTTTGGGTGCTGAAAAAGCCACTAATTCCAGCGTTCCTGGCCTCTGGGGCTCCCCACCACCCTTTCCTGTTGGGCCAGAAGCTCTGCTCTTTCCCAGCCAAGGCACAGAGTTGGGGTAACCACCCCCTTTGCACAGCAACACAGACCTTGAACTGGTTCAGCTCCAGGAGGGCTCAGCTGTAGGGTCACTTGCAGTACCAAGAATGAAACCCCTAAAAGGGACCCAAACCCCAAATAAATCCATCTTATTCGGTGTAAAAGTTTTATATGGAGAAAGCTCATAAAGTCAGCCTACTTTATCAATGAAAGAGGGAGATTCACAGTAGTTGCTCTCTCTCCTGCCCATGGTAACTATCATTGATTCTGGGCTTGATAAAAACACTTTTGTTAAGTATAAAAAGTAGGATTTCAGTGATTGCAAGTGAAAACAGACAGATCAAAGTAAGGTACAAAGTTAAAATAAACAAAAGATGCTTAGCTATTTCTAAGCCACTAAGACAATTGTCATATGCAAATTCTTACCTTAAACAGTTTTTTCCCCTTCAGGTAAAATGTTGCAAGTCAGAGCTGATCTTTACTCTGGATTGGGTCTACAGTTTTCCCCAGTGTTCTTTAGAGTCCTTTGTTTTCATTTGTCTCCTCTTAAGGTAGGCGAGGCAGTTTCAAAGACCAGATGAAGGCAAAGAGCTGATTGTTTTCCATTCTTTATAGACTTTTTCCCAGGGCAGGAAACCTTTGTTCAGTCTTCCTCCTGTTATGGAAAAGTATGAGATTCAAAATTGATTCCAGTACCAGGTGGCAGAATCACATCTTTCTAGGACCAACCACAATTTGGGCTTACACGACAAACAAGACCATTGGTTTGAGTCGTTGCATTCCTAAAGTGTCAAATGGCCCTCACTCTCACATTCAGAATTAATACCAGATTCCCACTTCATACTTCTGCTTTCACAAACAAGAATGATACATGCACAAAAATAGGCTAATCCTATTCAGCAGATTGCAATTTTCAAATTGATGTTACATGATGCATTTTGGATAAAGCATCTTCAAGTTATACCTATTTATGTTCATAAGCCAATTTTCATTAAGTGAATGGGGCCCCCGTTACACATAATATATGATAATCTTACAGATACTAAGCACTATACAAGAACAGAGCTTTATTGTATTAACTATAAAAATTCAGTCTAAATCCTTTATCTATGGAAAATTGTTTTACCCCAGATTTACTATTTTCTTAAAATCAAGAATATTTTGGGCCCATGGCAGAAGTTTTCCAACATAATAGCCAAAGGTTGCTATATGATTTAAGAGAAATTAGAAATGAAATCCCCTATCCTAGATTTCCTAGCTCATCCCCAGCTCAGAGCAAGATTATTTCACTCTGTGGTACCTATTGGACAATTGACACAGTGACTGGAATGCCTGTGAAACAGTACATTATGAGACCAGTTCCATGATACAGGAATATTAGCACCACAACTCAAACCAGATAGTTAATGTTACTAAATTAAAATAATTAGGCCTATCTCTTGAAAGGGAAGCAGGACATATTACAGAATGCATGACTATAAGCACCTAAATTAGTCTCATGTAGCTGAAGATAATTCTTATCAGCAGCTGGCTTTCATTCATTATAATATCTCATCACATGAAAAAGGTGCTTTTTAAATAAGAGATTATTTTACATTTCATATGATACCACTTGTTCCTCATAGGAAAATAAAGAGATGCATGCTAAACTGAGATTTAGCAATGGTACCACATTATTATAGAGCAGCAACATTATAAACTCTTCTTGAGGTTTCCGACTTAAAGCTACTTTATCTTGAATACCTGCTTGCCTACATTAAACCCTCTTGTAATATTCTTACCTTATGAAACAACTTCCATTTATTACTCAAAATGTATAGGAGTGATTATATTTTCTATGGCAAACCAAAGTTGGTAAAACATATATCAAGAATACTGTTCAGATTGCCACTTCAGATGATTCCTTAAAGCTTACTCAAAATCACAAGACCTCTAATTAAATTACTTTATTCACCCCATCTGGAGTATATGTAATTCTCATTAACCTTCATGGTACTCATGCGTATGCTTCAAAGGACAAATAACCCACAGCTCATAAGGTGAGCACTTTCTTTGCAAGGTTAGCACATAATTGCATATTCTAAAATGTTCCTGAAAATGGAATTGTTTTCACCTAAATTACTGGAAATTTTGTATAGCAATTATGCATCCAGAGTGAGCTGATGGTGTCCATTACCTGAATATTGCACAATAACTCAAGTAGAAAGTTCTACAAGAGTCTTTGGTGAGTAAAATAGGTCATAAAGACATTGAAGGGTTTGTTTAATTGTGTATAATTACCTGCAGATTCTCTCCACTAGGCATTATCTTGGGCAAATGTCTTTCTCCACAGGGTTTGGGAAGAGTGATATATGAAATACTTGCTTTCCATTTGCATAAAAAAGAGCTCATTTCAACCAGTGCCAAAGCACTCAAATATCATGAGAGACTTGAACCCTGTCATAATACATTTCAGAATTTTTCAGCACCACAGCAGTGATGCACTTGGCTGGAAACCGGAGGCAAATGATAAAATATTGCTATATTTATATGCATTCCACAAAGCTGGCCCATATGCTATTTGGTCTCCTTTTGACTCGTTTAAAAATAGGATCTTAGGAGGAGACATGCTGGTGAAAATTACTACTACCATCTGTCACTTTCTCATGAACGAGTATTTGGCTACACCACCCACCTACCCAACCTCCATTTTGAACCATAAGTTTATTATTTTGTTTTCATGTACAAGTAAATCTTTCTGGCACAGATCATTAATAGATGGAGCTGTTCTGGCACACCACGAACTTACATGAAAAATTCTCTTCACATTTCTTTTAAGGAGAAATGCAGCAGTTTTAGATCCAGTGGTTACAGAGCTAGCCTTTAATGCAGGAGACCCAAGTTCAAGTCCTCTTCTGCCACAGACTTATGTACCCTTGCACAAGTCACTTAGGACTTGTCCAGATAGCACAGCAATGCAGCGTGCAGATGTGCAATTTTTAAAGTGCACCAATGCTTTCCCCCTAACTGATCTGTGCACATCCTGCTGACACACACTAAAAGTTCCCAGAAGGGCTTTAATGAAGAGAAGTTTGCAGTACTGTATTAATGCACCCTAGAGAACTTCTTGTGTGTGCTAGCAGAGTCTGGGCCAGTTAGTGTATAAGACATTGGTGCACTGTAGAAATCACACTTCTATAGTACACATTGCAAGGCCATTTAGACAGCACTCTGTCTCTGGCACAGATGCTCAAAAATATTTAGGTTCCATTGGTTGATTTCAATAAGAGTTAGGAGCCTAAATACCCTTGATAAGATGTATCTCTGCTCCCCCTCATACTTCCGTACCTTACGGGATGTTGTGAGGTTAATAGATCAAAAGAATGTGGAGTGCTCAGATACTCTGGTGATAAGGACCATATAAGTATTACGGATAGAGCGGTATGGGGATTAAGGCTGCCATCCCAGACTAAACAACTGGGACATCCGAGATGATCCTGAGTCCATAAAATTGGATGGCTCTTTGTATACTGGCTCCTTGCTAAAATAAAGCCAAAGCATGTGTATTACTCACATTCTGAAGAGACTGCACAAACATGACTAAGTCCCTTAGACTTCTCACACCCTCACACTTGCTCTTCAACATGGAACTGAGTTTCTCCACTAATTTTCAGTCCCTTGGCTTCTCTTCCACCAGAAGTCCTCCAAACAAAATGAGATATGCTCCTACTCTCAAGCCTCTCTATTCCTTCTCTATAACCCTTCAAAGAATGCAGATGCATTCCTCTAAACATGTGGACAGTTTCATGTGCATACTCACTTCACAGGATGACCAACACTGCTTCCAATATGTAGGCCCACTTTATGCTCCGTGCTTGTTCTTTCAAGTTCATAGCTCTGGCTGTGCACCATGTTCCCACCACTGGAACCTGGGGCAGAGGGAAGCAGGTCATGTAAGGATTATAAGGTAAGTGGAGGAGAGGGAAACAGAGCCAGAGATAAGACTCAATTAAGCCATGAGTCCACACCCAGCTCTACTTTTGAGTGGTCATGAACAGTGTTACCTTCTCTAATTTTTTCCATCCATGGGCAGAATTCATTTTTTTTATGTGCACCAAGGCACATGCGGATGTGCATCACCAGCAGAAACACATGGGGCTACATCTAGACTGGCATGATTTTCCGCAAATGCTTTTAACGGAAAAGTTTTCCGTTAAAAGCATTTGTGAAAAAGAGCGTCTAGATTGGCACAGACACTTTTCTGCAAAAGCACTTTTTGCGGAAAAGCGTCCGTGCCAATCTAGATGCACTTTTGCGCAAAAAAGCCCTGATCGCCGTTTTCGCAATTGGGACTTTTTTGCGCAAAACAGTTTTTAGCTGTCTACACTGGCCCTCTTGTGCAAAAGCTTTTGTGCAAAAGGAATTTTGCCCGAACAGGAGCAGCATAGTATTTCCGCAAGAAGCACTGATTTCTTACATGAGATCGTCAGTGTTCTTGTGGAAATTCAAGCGGCCAGTGTAGACAGCTGGCAAGTTTTTCCGCAAAAGCAGCTGCCAGTCTTCCCAGTCTAGACACAGCCATGCTGTCGACTGGGGGCAACTTTGGGCGCTCTGCTAATTAGCTGGATGGCACCTGAATCTCTACTGGGTGGCCATTCAAGTGCTCAGCTTACAGGGAACACTGGTCATGAACCCTTGTTCTGAAACATCCATGTGGGGATTAAGCTATTTTCTTAGGTGTTACTTTCAGTTGTCTTGGTTTTTGGTTGAAAAGTTGCAGTCTGCAGAAAATACTCATGTCCTTCATTTTCCTTGAACCAAATTATTTAGAATCTAGTCTTTTTTCCTTCCAAAACCTCCTCTCAGTAAGCCTTCCTGAAAATAATGCCTTCTTGATTACAAGATTATATCATCACATACCCCATCTCTTTGTAGAGTTCTTTGCATCTTCTACACTTTGCAAAACCGGATGATTTCATATAACTTCAATAAATTGGGAAGCCCCTTACACATCACTATTTGCTGTCTCACACCCTGCAGTCCATGCAAATCATCACATTAATTATTCAAAACAATTTAACGAGGCACCTGGGGAGAAATAAAAAAGGTCATTTTCTAACATCTCCAGTTCGCATGGGTGTTTTTACTTCTGAGGATCTGAAACTGGTTAACCTGATAAAAGCCAAAAAGTGCTATGGGAGAGGGAGCCAAGCTAAGCCAGAGATAGCTCTCTTTAGAAAGGGAGATTTCTTTTCAGCCCTAGTAAAGAGGCGCTGAAAGATCTAGTCATTTACAACTGTGATGCTGCATTGTACTGTTGTGTGGGGAAGGGTTTAGAGTAGAATATAAAGTGTACATTAAAAAAAAATGGGTCTGAGCAGTTCCTGGGGCAGCAGAGGACCAGGGACAGAGCGTTAGTCCATCAGTTAACAATGCCTTCCCACACTCAGTACACCCCTGGCATGAGAAGAACGGTAGGAAGGTACCTCTGAGTCAGACCACTTGCTGGGGCTTCTCCTGGGATGATACAATTTACACCCCTCCACCCTCTTTCCCAGGGTTGTGCCTAAAATTACAATCTAGCTCACAGTAGATCTAGCACAGTTTTGTCATTTATACTGTTGACCAACAAGCATGGACCCGTACACTTGCACAGCATCCCAGGAATAAGGATCCGTATTTACAGCTCCCCTTTGCAGAATCATATCCTTAGATGTGTAAACTCTTCAAGGCAGGTACCACACCTTTTCCCAGTGCTTTGAACACCACTGAACACTGTTGGCATGCTATCAGAAAAGTAACAGATGTGCTTTAAACTTGCATATAATGAGAATTTCTTTGGTCAATGGTTTTCATGCATATGAACATGCACAAAGAAGCATTATGGCATGGGAATTATAGTCATGCACAGGTGCCAGAGGGTTAAGCATCAATCTGTATGTGCTAATTGTACTAGATTCATGGGACATCTGCGGTGTTTGTACAGATTTGCTTTTCCTTTTAGCAATTTACCAATTGTACCGTGCTAGAAAAAGAAAGGAAAACGTAAGTTCTGTTTGTGTTTCTTTCACATGCTACCTCTGTCATCTGTATTTATGTAAATGATGTTCCTCATTTCCGACATTTTCCCCAAGGCTGGAGAACAAGTGTTCAGCGCTGGCTCCAAGCTGTCAAAAATGAAACTGCTTGGAAGTGATTGTAGTGGAGACAGGAACTGAGGAAACACATGGAAGTTATTTAAAAAAATGAAATGCACAATTTGTTAGCATGCCTCATGTTTTAATCATACGATCTTAATTCAGTTTTCTTTATGAAAGGATAGAATCACAGTAGACTAGAACTGAAAGGGACCTTGAGAGGTCATCGAGTCCAGCTCCCTGCCCTCCCGGATGGTTAATATAGTGGAAATTGGACTAAGACTCATAGGATTGGAACTCTGCTAGACTTCCTGGTTGGCACTGCAAGTCCTTGGTACCTGAACCAAAGCCCAAAGGGAGTCTGTCCTGAGCCCGCACCTTCACCTGATCCCAAGCTCTACAGAGCTCTAACCCAGCAGAGCCAGAGACACTTCTGTTGGGTGTGTGAGGGGGTAATGATGCTGTGCAGGACATGCTCTCCATTCTCCCTCTCGAGGAAGCTTGCCCAATGCTCACCCTGGATAAGGAAATGGATGGAATCTTAGTCCTTGGCTTCTCATGCATTCTCATGGGCTGAATCGCATGGCTACTTTGTCATACACACAAGGACTAGGGGGAGTCAGGCACAAGTAACCTAAGATTTAAATGGAAGCCTCCAGAGGTAATCACACTATCCTACCGAACTATCTACCCTTTCTAGCAAAACAGACCCTATCTCTAGGATTGTAGCAAGGAGAAAACAGCATCTATACACTCATTCTATATAAAGAGTCCGCGTTTACATACACACCCAAACAACCTTAATTGTTAGCACAGATTTGTCCAAGCAAGACTCAGAGCTAAGAGAAAAGAGACATTGTGAATCATGTTTTTGAAAAAACTTAAACAACAAATAGTCTTGCAGCACCTTAGAAACTAACAAAACATGCAGATGACATCATGAGCTTTCATGGGCACAACCATCTACATGTTTTGTTAGTATCTAAGGTGCTGCAAGAGTATTTGTTGTTTTTTTAAGTGTTTTCAGTTACAGACTAACTCTGCTACCCCTCTGAATGGTTTTTGAAAGACAGCCCTGGAATATCATTGGAAACATGCTATGGCCCTTGTTCCACCACAGGTTTGCAACTGAGAGTAACCTCTGTATTTTGTGATCTTTGGTGTACTAAGGCAGTGCACTGTTTCTAAGATTTTTCCAGCAGCCAGCACTCACTTTCTCTCTCACACTGACGCTCCATTCATACACCCTATCTGTTCAGATCGGGGAAGGGGAGACAACGGAGCAGGAGAGCTCTGATACCATCTTAAAGAGAAAGCTCATGGTGTCTCAAACTTACCCAGCAACAGCGAGCGCACAGAAACTCTCTCACACCCTCTGTGCCACACACACACGCGCGCGCGCACACACACACACACACACACACTTTCCCAGTCTCTGTCTCTCTCTCACACACACATATGCACACTCTCTCTCTTGCCCTCAGCCTCTTCTGTCTGAGGACCTGTCCATTTGGGAGGCCCAAAACTTGCCTAAGATCACTTACCAAAATTTGTGGAGTGGACACCCTGAAAAAATTATCAGCCCACCCCTGTTTGAGGGGCTAATGTGTAGTTGGCAAGAGAGCACAGCGTAGCCCTGGAATCCTTCATGGTATGGAACACCTCGTTAGTCTTAATGGCAAATAATTCTTCACTGTTGAATGGGAGGTCTTCTACAGTGGATTAGCTCACATGGCAAAGAGGATGAGTTGAATCAGGAAGCACGGTGCATAACAACTGTCATAGTGGTGACTGAACATTGAGGACAGACTTCAGTGCCATGCAGGAAATTACTGGTCTTTCAGATATTACCGCCTTATACTGTTGCCTTGTTCCCTCAGGAATGTCATTAATAAAATTAATAAAATCTGTTAATTTGCTATAATTTCTATAGCTGTATTTTGGATAATAGCGCCACAGTTTCCCACCCCGAGTTTCAGTGCGGAGGAGAGAAACTCTGAGCTCTTGGAGGAGACATATTTCCAATCAGCCCTCTTGTAGGTAGAGCGTATGGTGGTCAAGGTTTGTCAGTCTTGGCTGATCCATAATAACCCTATTGATTGGGAGTAACTTGGTTGGAGGAAACTGCCGATTGTAAGATATTGCAGTTTGTGTTGGTTCTCAGATATCTCTTCTAGAGCAACTATGAGCTCATTAGCTACCTAGTTAAACAGGTCTTGGAAACAGGTGAAGTCATCCATTGCAGTAAGGTGGCAGTGGCATTAATCGCTTCATCCAGTGAAGATGATGAGTTGGTGTAATCTGAAGAGGTGACGGTGGCACCTTCTCTGTATGTGCCAGTGCAGGTTCCCCATGTGCCTTAGTGACAGAGGAAAGATGAGATGGAGATTTGTTTCCATATCTACAGGGGGTTGTCTGCTGGTCTGATGCCTTCTGTAAGACCCCCAAAGGCTCCAATACTGCCACTGGCCAGGAAAGAGCATGGGTGGTCCCATCCAAGGGTGTCCATAGCTGGGCAGTAGGTCCCTTGCACACAAGATCTTTATCTCATTGGAGCAGAACTAATAAGAGTGTTCACTGAAGAGGAGTGTTGTGGTGAGAAGAATCCCTGTATAGCATCATCCTCATCACCTGAAAAGAGAGAAGGAATAGGGGATAATTACTGGCATGGTACTGACGGTCCCGGCAAGCTACCAATACTGAATAGAGGAGAGTCAGGGTTTGGTGAGACAAGCAGATCCATGTGGTGGGTGAACTGCAGTGCCAACATAGGTGATGGCAATATGTATTGCACCAATTGTAATGGCAGTGTAGTAGGGTCAGTTGGTACCATTTGGCATCATATCAACAGTGTCACAGACAGATGGGTAGCTGGTGCCAAGGCTGTGACAGCGATCATGTATGGCATGGGCAGATGTGGCCAAGGAGGCCCAAAGTCCTTGTTGGTGCCAGACAGTGCTGCAGTTGAAGAGGAAATCAACTTCAAGCCATAAGCCTTGGCAGTGGAATGGTGCACACCAGCAGAAGATGGAGTATGATCGGTGTTGGAGACACCCGGAGTGTCATATAAGCCAACGTGTGGTGCAACAGGCATGAACAGCACCGAATGGCTTGGACAACGCTATCAGGCAGGCTGGTATCCCTGAAGTGATTGAGCAGTTTTTCACAATTTTTTGTGATTATTGGATGTCGATGGATTCTGCCTCAAGGAGGGTTCCCAGTTTGGGTCGGAGCGATTTCTCCATTAGAATTAGCATGATCCTCAGGTCTCTGTCCTTTCATGCCCTTGCTTGGAGTTTACTGAAATGGGCACATTTTGGGGGGAATACGGGATTTTCCCAAACAACGGCCATGTTGAGAATGTCTGTCAAAGATGGGAATGGTATCTCTGCATGTAATCTCTCAGTCTGGCAAACCAGGCACAACTCAAAAATTAACAGAGGGAGAACAATGGGAGGGGAAACAAGGAGTTTTTTTGTTTGTTTTTTGCTTTGATTGCAACAGGGAGAGAAATAAATTATTTGACTAAAACAACTATGCTAAAAACTAAAATAACTTTGGGAGTAAAAAATGTGTGTGACACCACCGAGCTCCATCTGAGGCTGAGGACGGCAGAGAAAGAATCGGATTCATGTGGTGCATGAGTGCTATTGGGCACCGTGCATGTGCAGCTCAGGTGGACACTGCTGTTGAAATATTTGAGGGAAAGTGCAGGGTACACCGGCACCTAGAGAGGCACACACAAAGGAAAATCTCTCAATGAACTGTCCCATTTAACAGCACATTAAAGCACTGCACAGCTATAAGTAGTAAGAGATAAGGAAAAACAAAGACCCCTTTTTCCTACATACTGCTAATTTACTTACTGCTTATTCATGTAATTATGTCCCCTAAAATGGTTTTTGGTCCAAAATTTTGCATATGCACCTGAACTTCAAAGGAAATGCTCAAAATTATCCTTCTGCAGTGTACTGTTTTAAATAATTTAGATCTCCTAGCCTAGCTATTGTGTGCTGTATGACTACTCAGCTTCAAAGGTAGGACCTTCGTACAAAATGAAGAGTTAAAAATAAATTGTGTTTCCTTAGGTAAATAAAATCACAAGAGCCTAAAGTTACAGATAACACTAACATGTACATAGTCTTTAGCTAAAACACATTCATTTAACATGCAATTTTAGGATTAGACATGTATGATGTAGTGGGCCAGAGATCAGCAGGGGTATGTCTACACTAGAAAGTTAGTTCGAACTAACGCATCTAGAACTAAAAACTAGTTCGAACTAGCTAGTTCGAACTAGTTTTTAGTTCTAGATGCGTTAGTTCGAACTAAAGGGCTACACAGCCCTTAGTTCGAACTAGGTAAACCTCATTTTACGAGGACTAACGCCTAGTTCGAACTAGCAAAACGCTAGTTCGAACTAGTTTTTAGTTCTAGATGCGTTAGTTCGAACTAAAGGGCTACACAGCCCTTAGTTCGAACTAGGTAAACCTCATTTTACGAGGACTAACGCCTAGTTCGAACTAGCAAAACGCTAGTTCGAACTAGTTTTTAGTTCTAGATGCGTTAGTTCGAACTAAAGGGCTACACAGCCCTTAGTTCGAACTAGGTAAACCTCATTTTACGAGGACTAACGCCTAGTTCGAACTAGCAAAACGCTAGTTCGAACTAGTTTTTAGTTCTAGATGCGTTAGTTCGAACTAAAGGGCTACACAGCCCTTAGTTCGAACTAGGTAAACCTCATTTTACGAGGACTAACGCCTAGTTCGAACTAGCGCTGTAGTGTAGACGTACCCCAGGAGAGTAGCTGATAGGGGATATAGGAGCTCTAGGATGATTAAGGCCTTATTCCTGCAGAAGAGGGAAAGGTTAGTACAAGATAATTGGAGCATGGTCCATATGAGGTAGTGGAAGCCATTGGGGAGGTGGACTATAAGGGTGTGTCTAGACTACATGCCTCCGTTGACGGAGGCATGTAGATTAGCCAGATCGGAAGGGGGAAATGAAGCCGCGATTAAAATAATCGCGGCTTCATTTAAATTTAAATGGCTGCCCCGATCTGCCGATCAGCTGTTTGTCGGCAGATCGGGGCAGTCTGGACGCGCCGCGCCGACAAAGAAGCCTTTCTTGATCGGCACAGGTATGCCTCGTGAAACCAGGTTTACCTGTGCCGATCAAGAAAGGCTTCTTTGTCGGCGCGGCGCGTCCAGACTGCCCCGATCTGCCGACAAACAGCTGATCGGCAGATCGGGGCAGCCATTTAAATTTAAATGAAGCCGCGATTATTTTAATCGCAGCTTCATTTCCCTCTGCCGATCTGGCTAATCTACATGCCTCTGTCGACGGAGGCATGTAGTCTAGACACACCCTAAAGGTAAAGGAACTAGCCCATAAAAGGCCATAGCAAGTCTACTCTATCAACTTACTGAAACCGTGCCATGCTTGGGAGACATGCCTGGTCACCTAGGGAACTCCATTCCAGGCAGGCAGCCCACAAAAGGAGGTGAAGATATTCCCTAAGTTAACCCCAAACCAACGAACAGAAGTCACTGATCAAGCACAACCAAGAAATAGTCTCTGTGCAGCTAGACTGTACAACAATGGTCCAGCACCATGCCATCACCTGTCCTGGGGCAAAGGTAAATCATAACGTTTTAGTATTAAAGATGATTTATTAGAACTGCTCTGTGTTCTTATAGCAATTCTTCAATAAAGGGCTGTGAGCCTACTGTAACTGGTGAAAACTGTAGTTAGCGATGATCACATTTGGCCTTTTTCAGCACTTATTTGTAAGGAGTAAAGCTAGAAAAATGTTTACCCCATTCACTTATTGCATGTACCACTAATGAGTTCCTTAAGAGAGGAAAAGAAAAAAAAAATCAGATTCTTTGTGGGGAACATGGCACTTTTTATCTGTCCTGTTACACAGGAGTGTTTATGCCATTTTAGCCTCCTTAATGGGTAGTGGCACTTTGAAGAGTGTTGACTGCAAGATATCCACATGTGGAATCACATTTCTGAAGGGATCTGGAGAGTAGCAGCTATCCTAATGAAGTCTTCAAATTGTCTGAAGCTGTCAGCAATGGAATGGGATAGAACCATAACAGCCTGGTCTGTTATGGGAATTTCAGAGGTGGCCTCCTCATGAGCCTAGTCTCTGGCTCCCCAACTGTCTCCTGTAAGGAGGCTAATCAGGGAGGTGAAAGTTGCATAACTCTCCTTACCCGATAAGACAGTACCAGTGGTTTAGTAAACTGTTGCTAATTTACGGCAAGCAGAGTGTTAGTTTCATCACCCTCTGTGATGAAATACAGGGTTGGTTTCATCACCCTCTGTGACCCGTATAACACTCCCCACTAACAAGCTAAAAGGGGATTTCTGAAGAGATATGTTGAGGAACCCCACTGGTTGGAAGTCTTGTTCAGATCACGTCACGGTGGAGGGGTGTCACCTTCTGAAAATGGTTGAAAGTCTGCAGGGCCATACACCAGTAGTTCGGAGGTGTGGGTCTCAGCACTGAAAGCTGCTTGGTTCCCCTTACAGGAATAGTCTCTTGGCAGGAGAAGCAACATTCGAAGCCTGGCAAGGCAGGCTTGCTCTGCCAGGAAATCCAGTCTTCCAGAGGAAAAAGGGAGCAGAAAACAAACCAATCCTTCAGCACCTCTAAATAAAAGCTAACTACACAAGCTACCACCAACTACTAGACTAAGTATCCTAACACGAGGGAAAATTAGAAAGGCTGAGGCAAGCTCAAGGTAGATATGCAAAGGCTCCATTTCAGGTCAAGACAGATTATATCGGGGCGGCCATGTTTTTGGCCTGAGAGCTACACATCAGGGTATGGAAATTTTATGGAGAGCTGTGAACACTCACAAAATTGGGGTTAGCATGTGGGAGGCTGTGGGGTGGGGCTGAGGAGTTTACAGTGTAAGAGGGTGCTCTAGACTGGGGCAGAGGGGTTTGGACAATGGCAGGGGGGATCAGGGATGGGCAGGGGTATAGGTGCTCATGGGTGCAGGTTTTGTGTTGCGCCTACTTCCTCAAGCAGCTTCCAGGAGCAGTGACATGTCCCCCTTGGAGCTCCTACTCAGAGGCATGGCCAAGTGGCTCGGTACGCCGCCCTTATCCACAGTCACTGCCCCTGCGGCTCCCAAGGGCTGTGGCTGTCAGCCAAATGGAACTGCGGGGGCAACGCTTGGACCAAGGATAGCACACAAAGGATAGGCTGCCTCTATGCATAGGAGCCAGGGGAGAGGGCATACTGCTGCTTCTGGGACTTGTACAGGGCAAGGCAATCCCATCCCCAGACTCTTCTCACCAACAGGAGCTCAAAGGCCAGATTAAAACGATTGATGGGCAGGATACATCTCTCAGCCTGATTTAGATCAAATTGAGGGCAGATCAGCTCTGCACCCCTATAGCCTCAGCATATGGCATAAGGTGGCACAGGGCATATGCACAGGCCAGATAAGCCCTTGTTTAGAAAGTAAGAAGCACATGTATGCCTGAAGTGGATGACCCAAAGGGACACTGCTCAAAGAATTGTATGTTGCGTGATCATGGAAATATAGGTACACAAAAGATACCTTCAGAGGTCACCAAGACCAGCCCTTTGTACTCAGGCGGTACCAAATAAACCTAGAATAATTTCACTTTTTGGTCTATGGTTCATTATACTCTTTGGATTACATTTATATCTTCACATACTATACCATACTGAAATTTTAGTTAGGTTTTGCAAGATAATGTGTCTGTGGGTACACATCACATGCATACACAAAATCTTGGCAAACCTTGTACCTAGAGGCCACTACTACGCTGGTGTCCGATTGTGCTAGGAACTGTACTCTAAACGGGCAAACCCACAATGCAAAACCCAGCCATTTTTATCTCTTTTAGGATTCTGAACAGTAAATGCCACATTTTTTCCTATTTCACAAGTGCATTTATTTCTCTAAAACATATTAAAATAGAAAACATGTTCATCTGATCAGTCATATAAAGTAAATACGAACATAGTATTAAAAGTACTGAAAATATAGAAAAGCACCAAGACATTAGAATATTTAAATTGGCAAAGATACTAAGAATATATTTTTTGTAATTTTACAATAAAGTGCTATTATATCCAATCAAAATTAGTGATTAACATTTTGTAATCAGAGTTAGTAAATCTTGTCTTTAATTTACAAATTACTGTATATTATCAGAACATGATCATTTTTCCAGAGGATGTTCCATTAAATGTCTTATTTCATCTTCAACATTTGAATCTTAAGTATAGGAAAATAATTTGAACAATATGGGCCACTGGTAACCATTTTTGAATGTATTAAATATTATGGAAAATAAAAGAACAGAAGAAAGCAAGCTCAACAGAACCCCAAACAAGGAAAATTAAGAAAACATTGTTACAGAATAACATTGAAATATGAGTTAATACAGGATTGCTCACCAAGTACAAAAATACTTCTGCAGAAGCTTTCCATTTATATAGTACATTTTCTGTTATTTTATTGGATTGATATTCTGCTTTACCAGAATTAGTCTATTAGTATACTACCTACAATTTTGTAGAATAAATTATCGATCAGAATTTTTTAAACAATTTTCTTTTACTTTGTCAACTATGCCACATTTATAATCATTCAAAAGACCCTGACAAGAGACACTCAAACTTTGTCCTGTTTTTCCCCCCATATATTTGTTTTTTGGGGGGGGGGACAGAATGCTGTAAATATACATGAACTCTGCAATGATCTTTTCTAATTTATACAAAAAAAATTAAAGCCATCAGCCCAGCTTTAATTAATAGACTTATCCAGACCTAGCCAATTTGTGGTGAAAATTATAAACGAATTTCAGTTTTAAATTTCAAGCAATTATTATAAATGGTTAGTTAAAAAAAAGGATTAAAAGGTATGAAAGATACTATACCTCCTATTCAGCTTTAGACAATTTAATATGCAGAAATGAGTATAAAGAATTTCTGCTACAATAAATGCTCATTCATTTTCAATACCATTCCTAAAATGCTTTTAAAGTAGCAGCAGATACTGTATTTTTCATATTCTATTTAATATGCCCAATCTTATCCTGATTTGGCTTATCTCTTCCAAATATTCATGCATGATTGAAGTAAACTGTGCATTTCTCAAATGTTTCTTACATTGGTTATTTTTAGCTTTTTTTATGAATCATGCAGTTGACTATCCAGATATATTTAACAGCAAGTTGCTTTGGTGTTTGAATAAAAAGTTCCTTCCACAACAACACAATTAGTAAACACTGAAGAGAGAAAATGTAACAGAACAAAATATTTATAATTAATTATGACAATGTCTCAAAAGTATTTTAATCAAATGTCTTTGGAATTATTATTTTTCATGGCAATATGGCTACAAATCGATGAGCTGTGTATACTGTTTGGCATGACATATTTATACAACAATTTACATTCACAAAAAATACCCATGATAAGGATGCTATTCCTGAATTTCAATATGCATGACCATCTAATTACTGTGTACTGCATGTTCATGTCCCTCTATTTTCATACACATATACAACGTAAGAAAAAAAAATCTAACCTACACTTCGCAACTATTAATTCTGTAAAAAAGGTTATTTTTAAATAAAGTTAAGCAGTCTGTTTGCACTTTAATACATCTTGCTTACATGATCATGAATGAACCAAAAAAAGGTGACATTTAAAGTACTTTCAACAAAAAGGGAAAAATAATATATTCTACGCAGTTTTAAGTTATACTGTTACATTGTCATATTTTCTGTTTTGTAATTTTCAGTAACTTGTCCAGTGAACATAGCTTCTAGTTCTTCTAATATACTCTTCTTTCTGTGTCAAGACAGTCTCAGTAAATTTCTGAGCTCTTGTTGGTCTTTCATTTCTTCTTTTATCAGTAGTAGTAGTATGACTCAAAGTTGTATTTTTCAGTCTCAATGGAGCACTGACCTCTCTCAGTTTTGGTAGTTTCTGGGTTTTAGTGGAGCAGCATTGGATTCTTTCTTTTGATTAGAACAGGCAGCATGTGTAGTACAAAGCATTGCTTTTTAGCATCTTTGAGTGTACAACAAGTAGAAGCAAAAGGCAGCAATAACAACTAAGACCAATGCTAATACAACTATTAGCTGTTGGAACCAGACACAGTAATCAATCTGCTCTTGAAGTTTTTTATTAACTTGTAATAATTGAGTTAGCTGAAAAGAAAAATAGGTTATATGATATTAAATAGCTTTTTACTGAATGAACTGTCATATTTCTAGTGATTTTAGCTATCTGGTAACTGAAAAGCAGTTACAATACTGAATTAGCCAACAGTATGAGGTACATACAAATCTTCAAGAATTCCTCTACAACAGTCTGCTCCCATACTTTGGATCACATCTGTAGAAGATATTATTTCAGATGTATACCCAATTCTATCTTGATATACCTATAATGTGTATATACATATCAATACAAATAAATAATATCACATTTTTCTACTAAGTGGCAGATAAGAGCACACAGAAATTCCACTACTTGAACTACGCTATACATTCTAAAGGAAAGTGAGTACTGTGTTGGAACTGGCAAAGGTGCTAGAGTTCATTTTATTAATATAACAAGAATAATTTAAATCATGTCACTATTTGGTTTATAGTTCCTTTGATGCATTCCAGTGCTCCACTGGAAATACTTTCAACATTGAACTTGTTTTGTACTATTTCATTAAATTTTCTATTGCCATTTATAACTGCAAGCTAATAACCTGTAATTCTGTTCCCTCTTACCTGTAAATGTAAATCTTCATTGGTTTTTGTTGGCATATTAAATGAATTCTCTTTTAATGACAGAGTAGAAGGTTTGCTACTTTCTACAACATGACATCTTAACCTGTGAAAATTTAAATGCAGTTTATTAATAATAATAAGTTTTCATGTTTTAGATGAAACAACAAAAACACTAAGGACAAAAATAATAAAAGACTTTTTGTAACATATTACAGTTCAATTATTTTACACCAAATAGTTCAATACAACATTCTTATCAAAATATGACTCTGACCCAAATTAAGTGAACAGGATATAGATCATGCCCAAAATATCATGGGCACTGTGACTGCTTTTGAAGTACGAAGGCAAAACATGAACAGAATAATCCCTTAGGACAGTAGTTCTCAACCACGGTGACCATTGCTGGCCACACGTATAGCTCTTTACCGGTTATCTGAGCACCAGTTACACTATATATACACTAACTACAGAATGGCCTGAGGATGTCACATGGGCCACAGCTGCATGCTGATCAGGCTGCAGGTTGAGAACCACTGACAACTACAGAATGGCCTGAGGATGTCACATGGGCCAAGGCTGCAGGTTGAGAACCACTGACTTAGACTATATCACTTATCTTTATGCTTTTAACCTTGTTACATACACCATATAACTGATTATAATAGAAGATTCAATACTAAAGAAATGTTGATTTATTTTAAGTATAAAATATTTAGAGAATCCAGAACTAAATTTCAAAACATGCCTGAATATACTTAATTATCAGCTTCAAGACATATGGTTTACAATAACAAGATTAGAAAAATTATGTGAGAAGAAATAAACCAGTCATTAATGCATTTAATGTCATAGGATATTGGAAACTGAAGCAGTTTATAAAACACACAGCAGGATCCATTCTGGAAACACACCCATTAAATACGAAATGGATGCCTTTATTTTGCTGCGGGTGGGAATCAAGTTTATCGTGAGACTTTTTTTCCCCAGTCTATTCAGGTGAAAAGAATGGAAATGCTAAAACTTTGCATAGAATAAAAAGAACAGAATGTTTTGAAATAACATTTTTTTTTTCAAAAACCGGTTAAATGGCTTCCTCTGGGAGAGGACTTATCAAGATGGAGCTATTCATCTCCGTCTATAAATATTTAAACAACAATGCATGACTTTAGGTGGACAACAATGACATGCTCTACTGCACCTGATTTAGGTTTCCTTGAACACACGAAAAGGTCAGAACTGTATAAAGCTATATGCCACATTACTGGATCAAGCACATTTCAGAACACCTGGCTTCCTGGGGCATTCATTTGTATTGGTTTATTAGTCAAGTATCCCTTAAAAGCTACTGTGGGCAGCTTTAATATCGTCAAGTAATTTCTCATTATTGTTCAATGCTCTACCATAACAGAATACCCAAGTTTAAGTAAGTGCTTTCTTGCAATTTACTTCTCAGTATGCAGATGTATATAGCTTACTTTTCCAATATGTGGAAAAAAAAAGGATCTAAAAATTGTGTCATTTTCCTATATGGAACTTTATTCTTTGGGGATTTTGGAAGAATGGAGAGATTAAACAATCCTTATACAATTTGTATTTTGAAAAACAAACAAAAAAACCGATAAAATATGAGAAAATCCCACAATTCCTTGAAAAATTACATTGTTTTTACACTTTCCAGAAAGAACGAGTTTGTTAATAACAGAGCAACAGAAAATGTACCTAATGGCTGTATTTATGAATTGCTTAATAATCCAAAGGCATACAGGTTGGCCCCAAAAACTGGGACTCCCTCGTCTGGCAACATCTGTGGTCCGGCAGGGCCATGGATGTTCCTGGACCAGGGAGTCCTGGCTGTGAGCCCCAGTGGCAAGATGGTTGGTGGCTCAGAGCCCACAGTGCTGGGACTGGGGTTGGAGGCCCGGTAACACAGCCAGGGCCATGGCAGCTCCAGTAGCAGGGATGTGTCAGCTGCAACAGCTCTAGTAGGGGAAGCAGGGATGGAGACGTGGCCACACACAGAAGCAGTGGGGTCAGGGTTGGGGATGCAGCAGCTGCGGCAACCCGAATACCAAGGCTGGGGACTCCTTCTGCAATGAGGAGTAACGGTAGTTCGAATTAGGAGCTTTAATTTGAACTACCCAGCCCGTGCCGCGTGTAGCCGCAGGCAGGGAGTTCGAACTACGGGTCATTTAAAAAGGCAGCGCCTGGGAACATGAAAATAAAGCCCGGGATATTTTAATCCCAGGCTTCACTTGCATGAGTGTTCTGATAAACTTTGCATCATGGATTAAACTTTGTATCATGGATTAAGGTATGCAATCAGTAAAGCAGGGCTGCTGGCTCTATGGGAGACATTTCTTCCAGTGCTTTTCTGACAGGGGAAAGAGAATACTATTGTTATCTGGAAAATATTTCTCTATTACTTAATTCCTCTAACTATTTGCTGTTTAGAAAATAGAAAAGAAATTATACTTTTTTTGTATTAAAGAGAATGCTTAACTGCAGTTCTCATATAAAAATAGTACTTTCTTACTCAGCATAGCTACTCTGTCTATTGAGTAGCATTTGTTTACTTTTGTTACAGAAATAATTTTTGCTACTGTGCAAGTGCAAATGTTCAATTTTATTACAAAATATGCATCAATAACAAACCAAGTCCCAATCAGTTTTATCTGCAAAACCCACTGCAGGCAATGGGGATGAAAAGAGGTCACAAAAACCATAATTCAACTTGCAGAATTTTTTATGTGCACAAATACGAGAAATTGAAATACAAAGTCCCTATAAGAAAGTCTTTAACACAAGACTAAACTATATGCTTACCTATGTTCCATCACTTTGTTTCTAGGAACTTCTTTCCAAAACTGAGCCAGTTCTGGAACACCTGCTCCAGAAGACTGGTCCATTTCTGCTGCCATTATCAGGAAACGATCCTGCAGGGAAGCGGTAAAACCTACCCTCAACCAAAAAATCCAAAACAATAGATTTAGAAAAGGCTGCATGCATACATCACTTTTGCTTTTTCAGGAAGGAAGTTGAAAAGTAATTTTAGTTAGTAAGGAAAATGTGAATTGTGCAGTTAAGTACATTTAACAGAACTGCATAAATACTAGAGAGAGGAGGTCACTCGTGTAATTGAAAGCTCTTCGAGACAAGTGGTCGCTGTGTGTATTTCATACATGGATGATGTGCATGTGTGTCATGCACCTGAGTCTAGAAGTGTTTCAGAGCGAGTCTCTTTCTCGCTCTCAACTGAGGGTATAAACTAGTGCGGGTTGATTCCACTGCAGTTTCCCTCTTACCATGAGAGAATCCATTCCAAAGCAGAGGGGATGGAGGTTGGATAGTGGAACACAGAGAGGACCCACACACCTGAAAGAGCTTCCAGTTACAGGTAAGGACCATCACTCAAAGAAGAGGAAGTTACTTATGTGTATTCCACATGTGGGTGTCTTGCAAGCAATCAGCACAGAGACAGGCATGAAGATACCAACAACACCGTGATCTATAGTTTGACACAGCATGATGTGAAAGCGTGGAGAGCGCACCTTGTCAAAGCTAAACAGATGTCTTGCCAGGACATATCCATCAATGAGGCTGAGGAGGTAACCTGCGTCTTTGTACAATGAACCATGACCCTGCCTGACGAAGATAGTTGGCGTGTTTGTAGCATTCAAGGATGCACTCCAAGACAAATTTGGAGATGGGCTGAGGAGAAAGGGCTTGCCCCTTTGATATTCTGGCAATGCCCACAAATTATTTAAGTGATTTTTTTAAACAAATGGTCCTGCGGAAGAAGAACACTCATGAGCATTGGATGTTGAGGGAGTGCAGGACCCTGCTGGTGGTGTGGTGCATGAATTTGGGTGGAATACTGGTAACTGGATGGACTGATGGAAAGAATCTGGGGTACAGCCATAAGGGCATCTTATTCTTGTGGATTATTGTGGGTGAGTGGGAGGGGAGGTCGGCCATCATAGCTGCAAACTCACTGACTTGTTTGGCTGAGGTTATGGCTACCAGGAATGACACTTTCATTGAGAAGTGGGAGAAAATGCATGTGACCATTGGTTCAAAGGGTGGTCTTGTGAGGGCAAAGAGAAGGAGATTAAGGTTCATGGGGGTGTGGGCATCTACACTGGTGGAAAGGTATTGAATAATCCTTTCATGAAGCAGACAGTGATACAATGCATAAACAGAGATGGGTGGTTTTGTGTGTGTCAATGAACATGCCAGTTGTTTGGGTGTCCAGATGACCACTAGTATCGTTGGATCACACTGGTACCTGCTGTACATCTCACCCAACTTGGCTCAGTGAGGAAACGCTGAGCCTGAGAGCAGTCCTTTGCAGACACCTGCTCTTGTGCTTATAAGAGTTTTTTGCTCTTGTTTTGTGACCTGACCTTAATCTATAGTATTGCCAGCTCCAAGGTAGGCACTGTGCTCAAAGGGGACAGTCGCTGCTGGTGATAACTGCTGTATGTGAAGAAAGAGGGGGAGTCTCCTGGACTAGAATCTGAGCGAGGCTAGGGTTGTATCATCTCCTCTAAAGTATTTTCAGAGATGGAACTCATGGGCTTTCCTGGTTGTGGGGAGGAAGGACTTACAGAGGACACAGTGTGCCATGGTGTGTGTCTCACCCAAGCAGTAGAAGCACTGCTGGTGCTGACACTCAGAGATGGAGTGTGGGTAGGAGCTTTGTTGAAGCTTGGGATCTTGCAAGGATTCGAGGAGAATGCAGTTCCTATACAGCAGGGGTCCACAATATGGCTCAGTATGGAACCAAAATATGGCTCTTTCATTCCCAAAATACATGCAACTTTTAAAATTAAAATGAAAAAATTCAAAATTTTAAAAACACGTAATTACTCATGTAGCTTGGATGTGTGCATGAACCTGGATTTGATCAGTTATGATGTAAACTTCAAAGAAATGTGCAAAAAGATGGAGCAACATAAGTCCCCGTAAATAAAGTCTGTGAGTACAAGGTTTCATTTATGTTATTATTAGTCATTATGTAACTAACAATAATATCAAGTTGTATATTTTCCGTCATGCAAATGGGCATTCTTATATGGCTTTGTTGACCACTTGTTCTGAATTTTAATGCAGTTTGGCTCTTCGGTTTGAAAAGGTTGCTGATCTCTGCTATACGGAGAAGAGAACTATTCTAATAACTACTCTATAACCTAACCATACTAACAAAACTATTTACAAGCTATGTACGAAGTAAAATCACTCTTAGTCTAAGAGCATGAAAGAACAGGGGATCTCACTGAGGCCATGCAGAGGTGAGAGGGAACTGGAGTGGTGTGAACGCACACTACCTCCTCTACTCCTGCGAGCCTAAGGAGGAGCATTATGCACATGTAGGTCAACAGACATTGCTAAAAAACACTTCCAGACTCATGTGCATGCATACCATGTGCCTCCACATGTGGAATAAACATAGGGACTATCACTTGAAGAAGGTAGGTACACTGCAACTATAGCAGGTATCAAAAACTTGTGAAGTCACACAGGAATAAAGGGGAAAACACATTAAACTGTAGAAATTAAAATTTTCATAATGGAGACTATTTAGCTAAATTGCAACAGCAAAACTATGCTAATGAATAATCCAATATTTGTTTCCATTGGTTCACAAAAATCAGGAGGTTGACAAGGCTTGTAGTTAAAAAAAAAATAAATAAAAAAATAAAAAAAAAAGAGTGGCAGGATGGCAACAGATGCATAAACAAGATAATCACTTTATTGGATTTAGGGTACAATTTGACATAATTGCCCTTAGCAAAATTATTTCAAATTTTGGACCCTTCAAAATTAAAAAGAAAGTTAAACATAGTGGTGCATTTTAATTAGAAATGTTTTAAATAAGAATGTCTTATGGAAAAGGTGCATGGATTTAGTATTCACTCATGCTAAACATTCCCTTCAAAAATTTGTTAAAAGATTCCACATTATTTCATTATGAAGGAACAAACCATGCAGAAAAAGGCAAGATGTAACTAGTTTACAGAAATGTAATTCCCAAAACTACTTACATTTTATTTTCATAACAAATTTTGAATTTTTTTCTTTTCCAAACGTCAGTAAGCAGTACAATTGTATTACAATTACAAATCACATGAATGAAATGATTATCTGTACTGAAATGTGGCTCTCCAGAAGCCAACCTAATTTTTCTTGTTTTACATTCAAAATCTTGGCACTTTAGCAGTAGTTTTTGTTGTTGTTTTTTACCAATCATATTAGTGATTAGCAGAACACTTCTCTACCGGATGAAGAAAATAATTCAAACCATTTCTCCTCAATATTCAATATACAAATCTACACATGATGCTTATTTTAAATCCTCCACTAGGCACTACAGGCAGTCCCCGGGTTACGTACAAGATAGGGACTGTAGGTTTGTTTTTAAGCTGAATCTGGACGCCACTTCTGACTTACATACAGCTTCAACTTAAGAACCCCAGGCATCCCCAAGTCAGCCGCTGCTGAAACTGATCAGTTTCAACAGCGGCTGAATCTGGACGCCACTTCTGACTTACATACAGCTTCAACTTAAGAACCCCAGGCATCCCCAAGTCAGCCGCTGCTGAAACTGATCAGTTTCAACAGCGGCTGAATCTGGACGCCACTTCTGACTTACATACAGCTTCAACTTAAGAACCCCAGGCATCCCCAAGTCAGCCGCTGCTGAAACTGATCAGTTTCAACAGCGGCTGAATCTGGACGCCACTTCTGACTTACATACAGCTTCAACTTAAGAACCCCAGGCATCCCCAAGTCAGCCGCTGCTGAAACTGATCAGTTTCAACAGCGGCTGAATCTGGACACCAGTTCCGACTTACATACAGATTCAACTTAAGAACAAACCTATAGTCCCTATCTTGTACGTAACCCGGGGACTGCCTGTATTATAACCAAATTATAACCAAATTAAATAGGTTTTCTGCAAGAATGGTTGAAAGCTAACAGTGGCCCATTCTTAAATTTTAGTAGCAAAAGTCTTGGTTGATGACACTACAGCAATACCAAAGTGAAAAAATACATTTTGGGAGTCTTATGATGTTAGGTAAGTCTCCATGATTAGTCCCAAAGCTCACAATGCCAGGTGGTGTGCCCCAACAACTGAGAATATATAGAGACCAAGTCAAAGAAAAGCTGTTAATTATGCATGTACCTCCGGTAGACTTGTTTGAAAATTCCATCTTATGTGTTTTTACTTACCACCATGGAGGGATACTACTATGTCTATTGATGTACCAGGTTCACAGCTACTATTACTTGGTTTAACTCTATACTTGTCTGGAGCAGTGGTTCTCACCTAAAAATACATGTAAAAAGCATATGGTGTATGTCAGACACATTAAACACAATATGCTGACCAGTCCCATTACTGCTAACTTACAATAAAGGAAAAAAAAAAGACAGGTTGGTTTTCTTAAAATACTAACAGCCCTCTGTTATTGCCAAAAAGATGAACAAAGACAAAGATCTAAACAAACAATAAAAAACACCCCACAGACTTTTCCATTTTGGAATCAGTCTCAGAAGTTAATATTTCCAATTTCTTCTACCAAACAGGGAAGGACAAAACTTGTGAAGTTTGTTTTATCTATTAAGAGAGAGAGAGAGGACAAATAGAAAAAAAAAAGCAAACAAGAATACTGAACATAATACTTATGAAAGTTGCTGGTCTGACAACTGTGAAACCCAATTCATATTCACATACACATGCAGAGAACAAGTATAAAATGGTGGTAAACCAATTCTAGGAACATCTAAATTAACTTGATTTCTTGCATCCCTAAAAATGCAGCTACTATGTTGACAATGAAAGAGTGCACTTATTCCTCTGAAGATGATCTACTGGAGAATGGACTTTTGAAGGGTTTGTTCATGGAATAAACATGTACATAGTGGTTCCCACCTTGTACTTTCTAGGGATAATCCAGAGGATTATAAGGTAAAAATTTTTAATCATCCCTAAATCCTCTTTTATGTGGGGTTCTCTCCTGGATTTATGCAATTGACCATCATATTTGGTGTTGTTTGAGTCAGTGCCAAATGCATGTAAAAATGTGTTTTAATTTCTATAGTCTGCTCCCAGACACAAGGGATGAAACAAAATATTAGGTGATCCAGAAAACCTTAAATAAAATAGTCCATTTTTTCCCTTCAAATACTAAAAGTGGAAGAGAGTGAGTGAGTGAGTAGATGGAGGGGGGAGGAGGGCAATTCAGCAATGCATAGGCACCCAAAGAGACAAGAAATGCTTCACACTTTAAGCATAAGGATATTGCCCTTTCATTATTTTTACTGATAATTATCTCTTTGGACATTTATTCCCATGAAAGATTAGGACTTTACACAAAGATTGCCACAATAAATTTGTATTTCCACTAAAAGATTTACCCAGCATTGCTTGGGTCCTTAACTCAATTTTTGTTTTTTGAAAATAAAATGGTGGAGCTGGGACTGAAGGGCTCAGAATGTAGGCTGCCACGAGGAGAAAGGACTACTCCCAGCATCTCCATGGTCACAGGAAGCACCTCTCCATGGTCACTGCAGGTCCAGCACACATAGCAGGAGGGATGCATGTCTCCCGGATGGGGCAGGTCCAGGTTTGTCCGCCTCCTGCGATCCTCAGCCAGAGCAAGAAATGCAGAAACTATGCACTCTCCCCTTACTCCCTGACAAAGGCGAACAACTAGCAATGTTCCTGCTCCCATACAAATTGGGGAGAGGGGAACTTCAGCCCCTCCTGTCCTCCCTAAAGGGTGCCCCAGGAGTGGAAGACTTGGGGATGGGGCAGTCCCAGAAAGGGGGAAGGACACTCCCAGCCAGCCCCTTTCATCTGCCTAGTGATTCTCTCTCTTTTCTGTATGCTTCTCATAAAGCCAATCTCATTCTAGACCCATCCCATTTTCCTGGCACAACCAAACCCTGATCTTGCTTCAAGTTATGATACAAAGAAGCTGCATACCAAATTTTGGGGTCCCAGCTCTTACTGTTTAGAAGGTGTTCTTGAACAGACAGACACACACACTCAAATATATGTAGTAGATACAAATGCAAAGCATGTGGACAGCATAACAAACAAATAATATTTACCTTAAAGGCCACTACATTTTTAGTCACATTTGTCAGAACTATCAAACATTTTTTTTCTCCAGTTTCCTTGGATCCAAAAAACAGTTCTTCTGATGGACTGATTGAAAACAACAAAAATATAGTTAGTTCATATCTGTATTGAGTAGTTCACTATTTTTAAAAGAAATCTTTTAAAATAATTTATCTTAACACAAGAAAAATGTACTTTTTGTTCACCAGCTATACTCATTCTAAATTAAGTTATTCCCAGGGAAGCTGCCACAGGATTAAGCAGCATATTTAAGTTTGAAGGAATCTCAATCTGGCAATGGTAAAAGGTGTGAGTGTTGTGCGTGTGCACATATACTAGGAACCATATGTTTGTGTCTCCCTTTATTTTATGCTCTCATATAATTGGGAATAAAATAAATGGTTATGTTCCTTTCAAAAATACATGACACTGGTATTATCATTCTGGAATTTGACATTCATCTTGAATAGTAAAAACAGGGCATATGCCTGAGTTGAGTAAAGAAAAGATGGATAATGGAAGGAAATGGCACAAGAAAATACTATTTTTAAGCCACTGAAAGGCCCCAAAAAGTGTTGCTTCATTCTTTTTCCTGACAGTATTTTTTCTGAAAAATGAGTCATGTTAAGAAATCATGGTCAGTTGCTTTCTCCCCACCAATTTCTTTATAGTAATTTAGTTTGCTTTGACCCATTTCCCCCTCCGAACTACTTCATATCCCTTTCTCTCTACCAACCCTTATATCATGCACAAGTAGCTTTGTATTTCACCTGGAAGAGGTCAAAGTCAGCAATGAAAGTACCTGGGATAGCAGGACCTGTCTGAGAACAAAAGGGTATCCTAGGAGCAGTCTAGTAATATTTTGAGGGAGGAAGGGAAGACGAGTACCTCTGTCCTATAAAGGCTTCTAGTCACCAGCACGGTAGTGGAAAAAGCAAATCAAAGAGAAAGAAGGGACGGACAAGAAATTACGAGGGAGAAGGGATGGAAAGAGCTGGTTCTCTGATAACACAAGACATCTGCCCTAGACACTAGACTACATATCTTCTCTAGGAAAACTCAAGTGTCTATTATTTCAAGCAAGAATTACAGATAGCAAGTGTGAAAAAAAAATCAGGTTTTTTGGGGTGGAGGGTAGGTTGAGGGTGTCACCCTGCATGCCCATCACTCTCGTAACCAAGTTTGTACAACTGCACAGCCAATGCTAAGTGTAAAAAAGTGGTTACTTGGTCACTGCAATGCGAACCAGAAAACACATAGGGATAAACTTTTTTAGGTTTAAAAAAGCCAACAATTTTACAAAATTCATCTTTCTGTATATAAACTGCACCCAAAGTCTACTACTGCACCACAAAGATTCTAATACCATAGATCATTAAATACATTTAGCTGCCTCCCCCACAGTATAATATTTTGATAATGAAACTAATTACGGAGTGTAGAATATTCTAACTTTCTAGTTTTTACTTTTGCAACAGCAGCACAAGCTATAGTGGCATCTTCAGTTTAAAAGTTAGTGACACCACAAGTATGAGCAGTTGTTGATTTCATTAATATTGATTTCCTCCTTTTCTTTCCAATAAACTCAAGCACTTCTAATCCAACTGGAATTATGAGGGGCATGGAGTAGGGCTTATTTCATGGCCCATGACATGTTTTTCATGGCTATGAAATTGATAGGACCCTATCAGAAGGCAAAAAACTACTTTCAATTATTTTCATGGATTCATCTAAAATCAAAACAAAAATGAAAGTTAACTAACATCTACATTTCTGTTCTATTTGCCAAACAAATACCGTGAGCTGCAGAACAATGGGTTGAGAAAGATCACATTTGTTAATTCCTTCTCTTAATAAGTTTTATATATAACAATGCAGACTCTCACAGCTAAGGATAAGGAGCGATAAAAATGTAGCCATGTTAGTCTGGTGTAGCTGAAACAAAAAAACAGGACTGTGTAGCACTTTAAAGACTAACAAGATGGTTTATTAGGTGATGAGCTTTCGTGGGCCAGACCCACTTCCTCAGATCAAATAGTGGAAGAAAATTGTCATGACCATATATATCAAAGGATACAATCCAAAAAATGAACACATATGAAAGGGACATATCAAATTTCAGAACAGAAGGAGGCTGGGGGGGTGGGGGGGAGAGGTAAATGTCTGAGAGTTAATTATATTAGCGGTGATAATTGGGGAAGCTATCTTTGTAATGAGTAAGGTAATTAATGTCTTTGTTTAGACCTAGGTGTAAAGTGTCAAATTTAAGCATGAATTACAGTTCAGAGGATTCTCTTTCAAGTCTGGTGTTAAAATGTCTTTGACGCAGGATGCAGGTAATCAAGTTGAGACAATGCCCTTTTTGGTTGAAATGGCAAGAAACTGTTTTTTTTGTGATCCTGTCTAATATCTGTTTTGTGGGCATTGATTCTTTACTTTTGGCCCATGATAGCATAAATTATATTTCTGGATGAGCAGGAATGTGTGTTCTTGATCTTATAGCTCAATTGGTTAGGTCCAATAATGGTATCAGTAGAGTGAATATGTGGACAAAGCTGGCAACAGGGTTTGTTGCAAGGGAAGGTTCCAGGGTTGGTATTAGTGTGGTATGTCCTGTGGTTGTTGGTAAGAATCATCTTGAGATTAGGTGGTTGTCTATAGTAGGCTACAAAACAGATATTAGACAAGATCACAAAGAAAAAACAGTTTCTTGCCATTTCAACCAGAAAGGGCATTGTCTCAACTTCTTGATTACCTGCATCAAAGACATTGTAACACCAGACTTGAAAGAGAATCCTCTGAACTGTAATTCATGCTTAAATTTGACACTTTACACCTAGGTCTAAACAAAGACATTAATTACCTTACTCATTACAAAGATAGCTTCCCCAATTATCACCGCTAATATAATTAACTCTCAGACATTTACCTCTCCCCCCCACCCCCCCCGCCTCCTTCTCTTCTGCAATTTGATTTTTCCCTTTCATATGTGTTCATTTTTTGGATTGTATCCTTTGATATATATGGTCATGACAATTTCCTTCCACTATTTGATCTGAGGAAGTGGGTCTGGCCCACGAAAGTTCATCACCTAATAAACTATCTTGTTAGTCTTTAAAGTGCTACAAAGTCCTGTTTTTTGTTTCAGCTAAGGATGAGAATTTTAGATGACGAATATCATCAGGGCAAGGACCTGTGTTGCACCAGTTAACAAAATGATCTAATTTAATTAGTGCAACGCTTTAACGTAGACACACATGCGCCAATTTTTTTATATTTGGTTTTAGATTAAAGTCGGACACTAAAGTTAAACGGAATATTTTTAAAAATCGTCATCTTACCTTCAGTGAAACAAATTTAAGCAAGAGTTAAACAAGTTATGGAGTTTAAAATGGTTTAACTAAATTATTTAAAAGTTAATTACACAGATATACCCTGCTAATACAGTTGAGCTGTTAATCAGTACCAGGCATATTTATGGCACTACAAAAAACAACTAAAGAATATTTTTTGATCTATGTGGGAAAATGAATGATCGCTCAAAGCGTTCATCCATAGAAATACATATAATACGTGACAGATACTTGAAACTGTTGAATGGAAGAAAAGCAAGTCTGAGAACACTTCAGATCAAAGTACGAATTTTTAGACATTCAAAATGTATTAAAGATTGGTCAAATCAATTAATTCTTGACTTCAGTTTGTGGTTTTAAACTGATCTAATTAATTTTAAGTAAGCTATATACAATGTAACAGTAAACAAATTTACTACTGAACATTATTACCTTATATGTAATAACAGTCCTTTAAAGACGGTTAATGCTTTCTTTGAATTTTTTGTTTTGGAATCTGTTTTGTCATTCTCTTCTGGTTTGGAAATCTGTTCTACAGAACATACCTAAGTAAAAATAAATGAGAATGATAAAGGAATAAAAACATGAATCACACACAAATATTTCTGCAAATATAATAGCAAGATTCTCGTTCCATCAAAATGTACAGTTAATATCTTTATTCACACCCAAGTTGATAGTATACAATTCCACAAACAAGAAAGGTAACTACTTTGTCTAGATGTCCATCATGGTTCAGTGGCTAAGTAAAAACACCAATGAGAAATCTATTAGATAAGCAAACGGATAAAGAGGGAAATAGATAATAAAATTGAATTTAAGTACAGAATTTGATAAGGAAAGCTAAAGGGAAAAAAATCCATGGCTAGCAAGGCTAAGATCAATACATTTTATTTTTGAAAGTATATTAGGAGATAAATAAATCTTAGCAATTGGGGCACATCTAAACTACATCCCTTTCAAATGAGGAATATAAATGAAGCAAATTGAAAGTACAAATGAAGAGCGGATTTAAATATCCCACACTTCACTTGCATATTCGTGTCTAAGTGCTTTTCTGAAAAACAGTTTTTCGAAAGTGAAAGCGCAGTCTAGACAGGGTTCTTTCAGAAAAAACCCTTTTTCGAAAGAACCCGTACTTTTGAAAAAAATGGACTAGACTGTGCTTTCACTTTTCGAAAAACCCTTTATGGGATATTTAAATCTGTGCTTCATTTGCACTTTTGATTTGCTTCATTTACATTCCTCTTTCAAAAGAGGAATGTAGTCTAGACATAGCCTTGTTGTGGTGAAAATGCGTGAGCACCAAGTAATTTTATCTTAAAATTACTAAAAGAAATACAAAACAAATGGGAGAAAATGAGAATTAAAATAGATGGAGTTACTATCTAATCATTTCTCATGCACTTTGTTCAGAAAAAAATTCTGAAGATGAAATTAATAATTACTATTCATTATTCTAAACAGAGAGTAGTTACACTTTTTACCACCACCAAGAGTTCTCTTTCCTGCACTAGGGGATACTATGGAAACAAAAGAGATTGGACCTCCCTGGGCCGGCACTTTCGGGACCTGACCAGACCCAGATGAGGGATTTCGCCCATCCCTGCTAAGCCAGGCAGCCCAGCTCCCTGCATATGGGCTCCTGGATGTGATGGGCAGCCCCGCTGTGGCACGCCGAGCTCTTGGACATGTGGGGCTCCTGGACCTGCCGGCCTGCTCTACTGGGTTGTACCTAGCAACCCAGCTGTGGCATGCCAGGCAGCCTAGTTGCAGGGAGCCGGGCAACCCATCCCAGTCACCAGCCTTCTACCAGGACTCTGGTCCTGGAACACGATGCCAGACCAGGGAGTCCTGGTTAACAAAGGTTCAACCTCTATAACTTGATTTCGAAAAAGAGAATTTGTGTTTTAAGAATTATGACAAAAAGTTCAGTTAAGAGTATTCAAATAAGTCACACCATATAATAAGTAAATAAATGATACAAGATATTAATGATAAAAAAGCAACTAAGTATGAAATTCTTATGAAACAAAAGAAAGTCAAAATTCAATTAACTATGTGAAAGGACTAGTATCATAGAAGTGAGTATAAGAGAATCAACTCTATTCAATAACTTAGAACACAAACATATCAAAAAGGGTGTTTCCCCCGTGGAAAGATTAATGGATAAAAAACAGCAACAATTTAATAAACATACTTAAGAACATAGTATTGGATAACCAAATGATAATCAAAATAAATTAGTTACAAACCTATGATTCAACTTCACATCAATTCTCAAACGAAATAAAAATGGTAAAATAGGATAACTTATCTTGTTTAAATTGGGATTCATTTATTGTTTGACTAGAAAGTGTTAATTCTGTTTTAAGAAACTACAGTTTTAGGACTAAGCACAGAATTTAGTGAGGTAAATACAAGGTCAGATGACAATTACGGCACAAAGTTCTTATACACATGCATGTTAAAAAGTTTACAATATGAAAGAAGCAGGTTCCAGTAACTTCATATACATGGATTGTTACAATAAGTTGAAGTGGATACTTTTAGTTCTGGGTTGCCAAGTTAATAAGCAAATATGTAGTTTGGTGACAGGGCTAAAACAGTTTAGTTTTACTTAAGGTGAAAGTTGAAATAAGGCAAATAAATTTAGCAAGCTTGACTTTTGACAAAAGCTCTTTGTTGCTATTCACTTTATTTGCATGAGGGATTCTCTACATGAAGACAATCACAGACAAACACGCATACAAAGAGTAAACACTGTCAAAACAATTTAGAATTCAAAAATACTGATTCCTATTTGATATTCTGGATTATAAAATATTCTTATGAAAAATTAATACATCATGAATGTCTCATTGTACGAGGATTCACCACTGCTAACAGAAAATGGACCACGTATACTATTTAATCATGGAGGATTTCTTGCCAAAAAATTAAAAATTCAGCAACGCCATTTGTCAAAACAACACTACATAGCCACAACAGTTTCAACTATTTTGGTAATTTATTATTTCAAAATACCTATCAGCACAGGGTTGGGCAAACTACAGCCTGTGGGCCACGTCTGACCCATCCAGCCCTTTAATTTTGGCTTTTGCTGAGGAGCAGGGCTGGATGCTTGCCCTAACCTGCTCACCTGACACTTCCCAGCCCTTGACTGACAATTTTATGAGCACCATCTTCCTGCACGCAAAGTCACACTGTGCAAGTGGGATTGGCACAGCTTACCCTGACTTCATTGTGCTGTGTGCAGGATCGGAATCCCACTTATATATGGCAGCGTGTCCAATCCCTGAAGCTCTAGTCTATGTCCAAACTAGCAAATGATCAAGGCCACCAGCACTGTAGGATACCATTCCTATTACAGTCCAATTAGGAACTCTGAGCTCCTTCATTGACCCATCCCCGAGGCACTGCTCCTTCCAGCGATTCACTTTATTTCTCATCAGCCAATCATCTCTGCCCGGATCTTCATCGTCTCCTATGGCCTCATCCTCGGGAGTCTCATAACTGCCATGGGGCCATACCCATCCTAATGCCTGGAATGGCCATCTTGATGCCCTTGCCAGCAAGGCACCTATTTCTTGAATTATTGTTTCAGTGAGCATTTATGGCCCACCATACAATTCCAAACTCAGATGTGACCCTCAGCCCAAAAAGTGCCCCCACCCTGTGTCCACAAGTACATTTGTAATAATACAAAAACAAAATATTAATGTAGAAGTAGAGAGTTAAAGAAACTGTTATGACGATGCTTACTGTGTCCCTTCCTCTCTCCGAGCCCAGCCAGAGCACCAGACACCCACTAGGGATGTTAGACAGCGTGCAAGTCAGTAGTTGTGCAACTGCATCAAATATGCGACAGTCCCCAGGGACTGCAGCCAGTGCACTCCAGCCCCACTCCCGAAGAGCCCCTGCCACCCAGGGCTCCTGCCTCTCTATCAGAGGCAACAGCACAGGGTGGCAGGCAGGAGCTGGTCTGCGAGGGGAAACGGTTTAAAAATCAGCTCCCTGTACAGACTGGGGAGCACACGGCAGCAGCAACTCCTTTCCACGGGGGCCCGAGCTCTCCACGGAAAGAAGCTGCTCCACATTCCACGGAGCAGCCTCTGTCCCTGGCGAGGCTG